GCAAGCCGATCGCTTGGCCTTCGTTCATCTCCTGAGTGTCGAATTCTTGGACTGTCTTAGCTAAAAAATCTAGAACCAATACGCCATCGTCTCCTGTGAACGTATTGTCTCTCTTCACCTTAGGTGGTATGTCTCTTCTGATCTTTCGCACGGCGGTCCGCCGCTTGCCCGACAAACGCGTCTCCGGGTTCCGCAGGCGGTACGTCCTGTACGAGAGCAACTTCTTGAAGAGGTAGTTGGTCGGATTTAATTCCTCCAACTCCTCCCATCGCGGTCCGCGCCGCGTCGCGATGTCTTCTGGCTCCGCTTCTTGATCTCTCCGCGAGGCGGAAGAAGTGACTCCGCCTCGTTTAGAGCTCTTCTTATTTGACGAAATCCCATTTCCGTCTGTCGATCTTCGGTCGGAATTTCTTGAATGATTCGACGAGCCGTCGTCACCATTTTCTTTTGAAACATTCGACTCCGAATTTGAGTCACAATTTTCGCGGTCGTCACTACAGTGACTTTTCTTCTTCTTTCGGCCTTTGGCCGACTTGGGGTTCTTCCACTTGGAATCCCGGGTCCGGACTGACTTGTCCTTCTTCGTTGGACCGTCGATTTCTTCTCCGTCGGAGAGCGATTCCGCATCCAAACTTGGTTCGGCCCGGCCCGCAGCTTGCTCAAGGTCCTTGAGTCGCCGCAAAGCGCGGTAGAACCGGTCGTCAATGCTGTCCCTTGTCTTGGCCAGCGTTTCCAGGGCCTGATTCGCGTCTCGCCGCGCTTCTTTCGCGGCGAGCTTTAGCGAATCCAGCCCTTCCGGATCTCGGCCCAGGGACGCATCGGTACCTAAATTCTCAACGAGAACCACACCAGCTGTCAGCTCTTCAAGCGCACCGTGGAACTCGGATTTTAGCAACTCCTGTTGCTTCTGAAAAATGCCCAGAAGTTCGTCGAGCTTGTTATTCGTCTCCTGACGAATCTCCTCGCTCAATTTTTCGAACTTCTCTTCCAGGCCGTTTTTCTCAACGACCGTCCCCGAAGGGGACGCTTCTGCAACTGGATCAGTAGCCGAATTTCCTTGGCTTCGTGTACGAGGTCCTCGCGGAATCCTCGACTCTTGAGCTGATCCAGCCCTTCTGACCCCAGGACCGACGTCCTTGGGTTGGCTTGATGCCATGGTCCGCTCTTAATAAACGAGACCTATCGAACTAATTTACCTATTTCCGACTTCTGTGTTCAGTTCCAGATTCTAGGTCGGGCTTCGTAGTTTCCAGATTCTAGGTCGGGAGACCACTTATGTAGTGCAATGTGCCTGTCAGGCCGGAACCAGGGTCCAACGGTCCAGCGACAACACAACCAACAAACAACAACCAACAAGAGTTGCCGACGGCACAGCCCTACGGAGTGTCCGATTCTCCCTTTCCCTTTAAGTGGGTTTGCGGCCCACAGTAGCTCAAGTCCCTGACAGGGGGGGGCAAAAGGAAGAGGCCCGCCCCGGGACGAATGGTGGTAGAGTCTTGTACAGGCAGCTGCTCGGCGAGTCCGGGGCGGTAATTTGGAAGCCGGGCCCGATGAGTCGTAAATCCAATGCTCGCCGAGCGCCTGTTACACCTTATACCCTCGATAAGGTCTTGGACGGGGGCGTCGCAACGCAGCCCGACGGGAATTTCCAAACACGTAGCATCGCTACACCTCCGCACTGCCCGATGGCAAAGTACCGACACCGGAACGGTCGCAACCTGTATCCGATGGAACCAACACTGTCCTGTATACACAACAAGACTTTCGAGGGAGACGTCGTCGCAACAGCCTCCGTCGGGGGACGTAAACAAGTAGCAGCGCTACACCCACGTGTCGCCCGATGGTTAAGACACCTACACCGGTCCGGTCGCAACCAAAGCCGATGGCACCAACACAAGATAAGGGAATAGAAATAGAGATAGAAATAGAAAAGGATAGGTGAAATAAAGGAAAAGGAAAGGGAACCCCCGAGCGCAAAGGATAACGTGATCTGTGGTAAAAGGGAGCGTCTTGGGAAAGACGGACTTCGACCAAGGCGATATTCAACTCTGGCAACTCCGGTTACCTTTACTCACTTGGTCGTCAGAGGGCTAAGGTATATATCGCCCCGCCGGAGCCACTACAGTAGCTCGCGGCGCTAGATCCTAGATCTAATCTAGTGTCAGCAAAATTAGTGCCAACTAATTAACTAAATAAAATAAAATAATTAAAAATTAAAACTGTGCAATTATTCACACGTGTGTCCCCCAACTCGGACTACTTTTCATATCCAAATATTTTCCTTTCTTTTCACCTCCCTTTTTCAGGTGCGTATTGCACTACAGTTGCATGTTGATTTCAATTTTTGAATATCGATGAGAATTTAAACACTTTCGTTCTAAATGTTTTTGAAGTCTGAAAGAAGTAGCCGAATGTGTACAGTACAGAGCTTACGCAAACGAGAAATTCGAGAATACAAATGCAGAAATTCTGCAGTACCAATTGCTGAATTCTATTTCTGAAAAGTGATGATACAGTTTCCGAAAACGTTTACGCAAATATAAAACTTCCGGCCGCAGGAGTAATAGACGGGAAGGTCATGCAGTACTAGTACATACCGCACAGTAGTGCCAGAATCGCGACGGCGGCGAGCTCAGTAACCCTCACCATTCGCGATGGGGCGCGCCAGAAAAAAGGACCATTGCACGTCCTTGGTCAGACGTCGACAGCTCCATTTTCAAGTGGCCTTGAGAACTGTCTCCAGCCGACGTCAGATGATTCCTGGCTCCGCGCTTTCTGACACAAAATCAATTCTTACTCTGGCTGCAAAGTTCTCGAGCGCCACCAAGGACTATCACTACCATTTATTGCGTGTTAGACGCATTTCGCACCAAGACTTCTCATTTAACTTCAATTGCTTTACGGACCGGGAGTGCTTGCAGAATTTCCGGTTTCAAAAATGGCAAATATCACAGCTTGTCTCTGTGATGAGTTGGCCTGAAACGCAAACGAGAACGTCCAGAAATAGATATCGTGCCTCTCCCATTCTTGCGACTTGTATCGTTTTGCGGCGTCTCGCTGCTCCATCCAGGTGAGAAGACCTTGAAGAACTCTTTGGAAAGCATGCGCCACAGCTTTCCGAAATTTTTTGGGAAGCAATAGAGCACCTTTTAAACACTCGAAAACACCTCGTGACGGAGAACATTAGTGTGCTTTTCATTGCCCAAAGAGCAGAGCTTTATGCACAGCGTATTCACGACAAGGGAAAAGCCCTTCCTAGTCGCGTCGGAGTTATAGATGGTACCGTTTTAGGGATCGCCCGTCCGAGCGGAAGTCTGGCTCAGCGTGTCGCTTATAATGGACATAAGCGCAAGCACGCTGTCAAATATCAAGCTGTGAACACACCGGATGGTCTCATACAGCACTTGTATGGTCCATTTGAATGTAGAAAACATGACTGGACTTTATATGTACGCAGCAAGATGGACGATACTCTTCCTAGAGTGTTATTGGTGGAAGGAAAGCATTGCTGTATATATGGCGACTCTGGCTACAACCAGCGGTGGTTTATCGATGTACCTTTTCAGGGCTCCAACATCTCTCCTGCCCAGTCTGCATTTAACAAGGCAATGTCGTCAGTGCGGATTAGTGTGGAATGGAATTTTAAAGAAGTGAAGCTACAATTTTCCGCAATCGATTTCAAACGGAAAATGAAGGTTCGCGAACACCCCGTGGGCATGATATACCTGGCGTCCATTCTGTTATCCAACTTTCGAAACTGCCCCTACCCTAACCAAATCTCGAGGTATTTTGATTGCCCGCCTCCCGATCTTACGACATATGTGAATCATAGAAACTAGTGCTTTTATAACGCTTTAGTCTTGTCAGAGGGAAACTGACTGCGAGCGGAGTTGTTCATTTATTTTTTGTGCTCAATGAAGGAAAGTGGTGCCAGGAGACTAGTTTAACAGAGATTAGTACCGAACGGAGTTGGTCAGTTAATTGTTTTTGATGCAAGGACGTAAAGTTGTTGCCACGAGGCTGGTGTGACGGAGGTTGGTGGAGAGCGGAGCTGGCAATTTAATTATCTAATGTTCGAGAGTGGAAGGGTGCTGCCATGCAGACCGTTCGTACGACCGCCTCACCGCGATGTATGTGCGGGGAGGACGGGGTGGCAGTGGGCGTTGAGAGGCCGTAGTAGCCTGTGAGGCGCGTGTGGCGCGGCTTGCGCGGCTTGCGCGGGACGGCGTCCGTCATGGCGGGCGTCGTTGAAAGAGCAGAGGGAGGGAGGAGGCGAGGGAGGAGGCGAAGAGGGAGGAAGAAGGCGAAGAGGGGAGGTAGGAAGCGAGGGAGGAGGCGAAGACGAAGAAGACGATGAGGAGGGGGAAGCGAGAGGGATGTGTTCCGGTTGAGGTGGGTTTTCCTTAAATTACGAGTCGTCCCTCTCCTTCCCCGCAGCGTCTCTTCCCACCCGACACCGTCCTCCTCCCCGCGCTCATTGCCAAACTCCGCCGCTCCTCCCCCGACTCCTCATCCGCAATGCCGCCTTGTCCACCGCCCTCCGCCTCGCTCACATACACCTCCTCCTCCTCCTCCCCCAAGCGCTCTGCTCCCCTCCCCCGAACTACCACACAACCTCCGCCCTCCTCTCCACTCTACAATCCATGCGCGTCGCGCTCCTGCCCGCACGGCCGCGCAGAGTGGGCATCTCCAACGCCCACCTCGCCGCATTTGCTTGTGATAACGCTGTCCCACAACCTGCGCCACCTGCCGCCCTCCGCGCTCGTCTCCCGCCCGGCGCTCCTCGCCGTTTTCGGCAATCACGGGCGCGGGCGCATAACATCCGAGCCCGCTGTGCACATCACCCGCGCTGCCGCGGTGACGGGCGTCGCGCTGGCGGTCGCGCGGCGGGGGCGGCGGCGATTGCCGGCGGGGCGTTGCTGCGCGGTGCGTCGCGAAGCGTCTCCTTCCCCGCTCATCCCCCACCCGCATCCCCTCCCTCTCTCTCCCCTGCACGCACTTCACCACCGCGGGCCCCCGCCGAACCCTCCCTCGGCCGCGGTCCGGTCCCTGCAGCCTCGCCAACGCGCCATCTGTGCGCCCGTCATGAGTGCGGCGGTCGTGCGGAACGGCGCTATGTGCACCGGCGTCACGAAGCTGGGGCGGCTGCCGTCGACCTTATACGGCGCGTCGGTGAGCAAGGTGCATCTGCTGGCGGGTGACGTGCAGCGCGGCGCCCTGTCGCCGCTGGACGCCCTCATCCGCCACTTACCCGCGTAGGAGTACGACGTGCACGCGCACGCGTCCGCCCTGGCCGTTTGGGAGCGCGCCCGCGCCGTCGCGGACGAGCGCCGCACATGGGCGCACATGAACGCCCTCCGCCGCGCCCGGCCATCGTTTCCGTTCTTGGTAGAATCCAGGTGAGATAGTTTGGTGCGTGTGGAAGCAGGGAAAGATGGAGAGGAGGAGACTTGGTAGACAGATGAGGTGCGGTTGTCGGGAAGTCCACGAAACTCAACTGGTCGATGGCGAAGAGTGCTCGAAATAGGAGTTCGGCAGTGCGGAGGCGAGGTTTGCGAGGCATGAGAGACGCAGTCACATTTATCACAAAAGGTGATCCCCTCAGACTCGCAGTAGACTATTGCCGGAGCATCGTCGCAGCGCTCGCAAAAGGGAAGGGCTGTGACGGCGGAGGAAAGATCGACGCGCTGGTGAGAGGCCGTGTGCGGGGAGGCGTGTTGTTCATCGTCGCAGGAGAAACACACGACGGTACGATGGTTGACGCAAAAGACGGTGGCGGCGGCGGATAGACAGCCGTCGCATACGGCCCGGACGCCAAAAAGGCGGGTCATGAGCCGCTAGGGGCGTGAAGAGCTAGCCGGAGCGGCTTGACATCCGTTGGGAGCGTAGGCCGGTAACAGGGAAGGCGTGTGATCGGAATAGAGCGTAATGTGGACAGAGAAAGCGGATGGGAGGGTATTGCAGTTCTTTGGCCGACGGCCGATACGAGGTGACGAACGCACGAGAAGCGAAGGTTCCAAAAGTTGATGCGTGGGGTGACAGGATTGGGGTGCACAGATAGAGTTGAGTCCGCTAAAGTGCGCGGGGAATAGATTGTAACGAGTAGGGGTGAAACGGATGGGGGAGATGTGACGAGTGAGGAAAGTTGGTAAGTAAATATCTCAGCAGGGCTCTGCTGAAACGTAGCGGCAGTGGTATGTGTAGTGAAACGGAAACAGAGAGGAGTAGAATAATTCAGTCGGATGCGATTGGATTTCCATTTGCCCGGCATCCCGTCGCACATGCGTAAATGTTCCATAGACAGCGCGACATGCCGCCCCGTTCCCGCCCGCTCCTTCCTCCCTGCCCCTCCCCTTTCCCCCTCCTCGGTGGCACCGCTCCCATTGACCACCCCAGGGGGGACGTTTGTTGTGTTAACCCTAACGGGTCCCTGGTAGTACCATGGTACAGTACCCTTGGTACTTTTTACCAGCCTGGTACACAGTACCAAGGCTACTACTGGTACTGAATGGAAGGCGACCTACTCTATATGTACGACATGGTCAGATTTACTTTTTTCTCGCGAAGGCCTCTATGAGTGCCTTGAACTTCTCCACTTCGAGCTTTTGCTGTTCTACGTGTTTCTCCCGACGCTCTCGACGTTCTTCTTCTCTTTCCTTCTCACGCTCAAGGCGCTCCTGCAAGCGTTCTTCTCTACCGCTCTCAGCCATGTCGCGCCGAAATTGAAGACGCTCTTGCTGAAGCGAGATTCGGGCGAGGTCAGCGTCTTTCATGTGCTCTCCGAAAGCATCAAAGCTATCATCATCACCATATGCCATTTTTGTTTTCTTCTTCTTTCTCGCGCTGCCGTTTGTGCTACGAAGATGCCCTTCGCTTTCTACCTCGTCTAGTATCACAGCACCATTATCATTTCCGCAGCTGCCATCTTCTGTTTCCGAGTCCTTCGATGACTTGCGCTTTTGCGCTGCAACCGTCAATACGCGACCCATGCATTCCTTGTGTTCTTCTTTTCTTTTCTCTGCTAATTTCGCTGTTTTCTTTTGTGCTTTCCAATCATCTCTGGCCTCCCTCAATGTCATCAAAAGGTCAGCCAACTCTCCCATCTCCACCGACTCTAGACAACCTTTGATTGTCGGAATCGTTTTTGTCATATTGGTCCTGCAGTTTTTTGTATCGGTCCTGAATTGTCTTCCAACCGATGTTTTTTGTCCCCAAAGTGTACGTTCTCACGCAATCTTTCCGCCGCAGTAGCAAATCTCTTCTTCGTTTCACCAAACTCCGCCAAATGAGCTCGAACAGCGGCTACCTCACATGGCGAGGTCTTGTTGCGGTGTGAACGGTGATTGCCTACCACTTTTGGTGGGGGCTGGATCTTGTGTTTCCGAACCAACTACTTCAGACATCGTTGTGTGCTATGGTGTATACGCTTGTAGCGACAACACGAGTGAGTAACCTTCTATCATGCATGCATTATCGCGAACTCCCGCCAATTTCACGACACCTGTCCCTATCATTTCTCACGACCATGCAGAAATCCTCTTCACTAAAATCTCACAATTCCGCATTTTTTGTCATGGCATGATTGCAGAATTCTATATATGCAATTTCAGTGTAATGTTTTTTGCAGAATTGTTTGCAGAATTCTGTAGAATCCGGTTTGCGTAAGCTCACTAGTACAGGGGGAGGGGGGGGGGTCGCGATATAGTGCTACCCTGTGTCAGTGGGCCGAAAACGGCACTATATCGAACCAGGCACTGTTAGATAATGAGATTTACGGCTTTTTTGCAGCCACTTCCTTGTATCACTGCTCAGAAAGACCGCTCGCAGGACGCCATCACTCATGCTTTGTATCTTCACTACAGACTCAAGTCTAATCAAGCATTTCTGTTATTAGTGGCTGCCGAGCCGTCGCGTTGACTTCCTCCTTTCTCGCAGCTATAAATGCCAGCCTACACTTTTGCAGATGTCCAATTGCATCATCGACCCTGCCTTTTTCCGCCATAGTCTATTCGAGGTAGCAACTGCATAATAACTTTCCGTGGCGGCAGTGGCTCTCAGGCAGTACGTCCATCCAACTGCCTCTCTGGAGACCCTTCATTTTTTGCTCAAAATGCGTGCCACCCGCAGAAGGGTAGCACTATATCGGAGCTGGCACTAACAAAGATGGCACTATATCGCGACTCCCCCTGTATCCGAAAGCATAAAACGAGAAGACATGAGATGGCATTTTGCATCATTGGCATTGCTTCGTGGTCATTACGAGCAATTTCTCAGCCTGGCACATCGATATACCAGAATCGGCCGCCCGTGTCCTTACAGACTACAACATTGCCATGCACGGTTAAAACTCATCCGGTTATTCGTGGAATACACTTCTACTTCATTGAGTATGATCATCGACCGGGACAATGATAACTTGGAAAAGAAGGCTCGGAACGTAGGAGACCGCTTTTTCACAAAAGGAGAAGAACCCGCTTCATCGGACTGGGTCAGCTTTCATTCTCTCTGCCGCTGCACCCGACCAATTTTAATCTGTAAGACCAGCGCTTTCTTCACGTTAGACCCATTTGGTTTTGTCTCCCTTGCTCCTCAAGCATGACGAGATTCGATTTCCAAGACTGTCCTCTTGAATCTCGCAGAATTACTTCACGATATGCTTAAACAAGCAACAGAACGAAAACGGAGGCTGGGTGGCAAATCATTTGTTTAAGCAGGACTATGTAGGACCCGAAAACAATCCTAGTTGCGCATGAAGGTGGCATGAGGAAGTAGGTTACCTTACAGTAATGCTCTCTAAAATCCGAACCTATCCAAAAAAAGGGGTCTCCAATCGGGCCTCGGATGTCTGGGGTGAAACTAACGCATCGAAAAGTCATCGAGGACCGCGCACTGAATTTTTCTGCGAAGCGCTCTTTCAACAAGCAGGCCTTCCACATGTCTTGGTACACTGGACACAAGGACACTACTAGTTGTTGCGAGCCTTATCAGTCTTCCACTGCAGCTTCTTCTTGAGGCGCCACATCTCGACCAGAGCGTTCTTCAACAGCACGCTATCCGGAACCGGGGTCGGTGCCCACTCGTCATCCAAGGTATCCTCCCCGGCGCCCCCGAGGCGGTTTGATGGCCCGACAGACGATGCGAAGTTGCTACGCTTCAAAATTGGCGGCGTGCGGCCATTCGCAAACTCCCTCGGCACTGTGGGCTTGGACCGTGGCGTGCAAGGCTCGTACGTGCACACGCCGGGGGCATCTGTGGAGCTCCAACACTTGTCGCCCCATTGCTGTGAGGCATCCGGCGCCCACACGGGCTTGGAGCTCTCTGTGAGTCGGGCGCCGCCCTGGATGCGGACGAACGAGCATGCCCAGTAGTCGCCGAAGAGGCCGGTCTTGTACGGGTGGGCCTTGGTGTTCTGGTAGATGCTTCCTCCAAGTCCGCCGTACCACGCCCACCCAAAGATGTAGGTGCCGTCGGGCACGATGGTGGGGATGGTGGGATGGGTCTCATAGTAGCTGACGGGGAGGTCGTGGAGCTTGCCGTCTGCGGCGACGAGCGAGTAGCCCTGACGATCCGTGCCGAACTGGTTCTTCTTGGCCGGCACGGCCTTGGCGCCCCAGCAGCTGTAGTGGAATGCGTTGCGAGCGTGCGCTTTCTTGGACATCATCTCGTGCAGCGGGACCAGGGTGAGTCGCATGAAACCGCCCGGGCCGTGGTTGTTGCGGTGGTACTTGACAGAGATGCGCTGGCCGCGTGCGTAGATGCGGGCGGGGTTGACTGGGGACGTGCCGTTGACCTCTTCGTAGTTGGATGCGCGAAGGGCACAGGGACCGGGGCAAGCCATGAAGCCGCCTGTAGGGGTGCCACCAAGACGGCAGACGTCGGACATGGTGGGCTTGGGCTCCGCGAGCGTGCCGTGAGCGGAGGTTTGAGCGAAGAGAGAGAGGGCGAGAGC